CAGCCAATTCCAGTTTCCAACAATGGAAACTGGAGTTATATATGACACCTATAACTCTGTCTGTGTCACAAAATAAACTTTTAAGATTTTCTCAGGTGAGGATGTAGCTGTGTAAACTTCAAATATCTGCTCGATTTATCAAAACATTACATATTTGCAAAAGTGCTGCGGAGTTTTTGGAGACGTCTGTTACCCACCAACTCGGCGACCGGGAGGTCAAGGCTCACTAGAGCTGGTGAGAACAGTGAACTCCTGGCACATCGTTTTCAAACCCCCCGTGGTCTTTCGCTACTCAGGTTAAACGTGATATATGAGCCACTTTGATAACTTAAAAATGTTATTATTTTCACACAGCAGAATAAACGTCTGTGCCTATTAGTTAATTCATTAATTAATACCCAAGCTTTTAGGAGAAACCATCTGTTAAATTTGTTCACGGTGGTTAGGAACCATAATACTCCCTCTACAAACGCTTATAGCTGCCTATTTAAATAGTTCAAACACCAAATATACTTTAAACTGTGATTGTAAAACACCTTAATATCACTTCAGAGTTTACATGAATATTAATATTTGAAAATTAGGCTCGCAGCTCAGTCCACTCTAGCACAGCTGGCTGCCGGCAGAGCCTTCGAGAACGGTGGGGGCTCTCCTCAGCTCTTTTCTGGGTGGGTGGCACAGCTGCCCCTCCTGGTCCTCCCAGGGCTCTCGTGCTCTGGGGGCCTCTAGATGTCTGGGGGCTGGATCTCATCCATGCCTGCTTCATGTCTTGGGGGGCAGGGCTATGGCTCCCCACACCCACTATTAGATAGTTAGATGGAGGAACTGTTGGGTTTATCTAAGTACAAACCCTGCTGGAATGTAAGACAACCAACCGCAGCAGCAAAACAAGACACAAGACAGAGCTCTTTGTGAGCTCACTCGCGAGGAAAGCCGACCAAGGTCAAGCGCTGTTCCTTCCACATGAACCCCGTCAACCTCGGACGGACTCCCCGTACAGCTACTTTTACTGACAACAGTGATTACATGAATATGCATAGTTTGTGTGTGTGTCAAAATATGAGCCTGTGAAAACTGCTCAGCCAGGCCTAACAATGTTTTACTATGTTATCTGCAAAGAGATGAAACTCCCATGATGACCGGTGCCAGGAGCCTCCCGGGAGAATAGTGGGAGTCCTCCTTGCAGCAGCCCAACTAAGACAAAAGACTGTTGTAACTGAAAAGATATAGAGTGTGTGCTCTGCCATACCATATATCACCAAACAAGATGCGACCTTCCCATGAACTTAACATGTGTATGAGGTATACCGAAACAGCAGAAGGGAGGGGAACATCCTCCCCTCTCATGGTGCACACAGTGCACACAGAACCTTAGCAGACCTAAATAAGGATGACATATTTTATCAACATACAAACGATTATATATCTCTAAGCATAAATGATTATATTTTTCTAAGTACAAATAATAATCTTAAGTTATCACTCTCACAGGAACCTTTTGAATACAAGCACATTCACGTGCACAGGTGCGTGAGCATCAACTTATCCAGGTTGATGCTGTGGTCTCCCTACTGTGTTGTTCTCTTTTTTCTTGGTTTCTTCTTTTTCTTCCTGCAGGTGATCCAGCGGATTTTTAGTCTCCTTTCTCACTGTCCCTCTTGCCCTCTATTTTTCTTTCCCTCTCCTTTTCTTGAAATTCTCTTCTCTGCGTTTTTCCCTTTCCAGTCCCCCAGTCATGTCTTTTCCATTTGTAATAACTTAAAACTTAAAATAAACAAATAAATAAATACATAAATAATAATAATAATAAAGATCAATCAAGTGAACCGGTATGGATAAGCCATAATGATCCACTTGGAAAAATAAATCCGTTGGGCATTTCTCTTGGCCTTCACACAATAATTCTGATTGCCACAGTGCCAAACAGGACAGGCAAAGAAAAAGAAAAACCCCCAAAACAGAAAAATGCTAACTTGTACTGACACTTTTGGATAATGTGTAATGAACTAAAATGAGTTTCTTAACAAAGCAGATGAAGCAGCTTTCACATACACACTCAGTGATACGATACACTCGTGAATCATCTCAGTAATGAAACCTGCATCTCAGCCGTCATCTTGGTGACTTCTCACCACTCCTTCAAGGTAAATAGAAACTCTGATGGTTGAAGTGATAATAATGTTATATATGATCATTACTGTCACTGTTTGTATTGAGAACATATAGGCATATACGGAATGATATATAGAAATTCCTGGGAAAGCTGGCCTCTTCTTTAAGGTCAAAAAAGGTCCAACTTTTATAAAATGACTTTTATCTTTAAAACTCTGCTTATAATTCTGCTCCCTTTGTTTGTACTGGAAACGTTTAGGAGAAGATACTGGTGTATGGGCTATCACATTTGACCTCTGACCTCACTTTTGCTTTTCACCACCCAATGCATCTTCTTCCGCTTTATCCGGGGCTGGGTCACGGGGGCAGCAGCCTAAGCAGAGAAGCCCAGACCTCCCTCTCCCCAGCCACCTCCTCCAGCTTATTCGGGGGAACACAAAGGCGTTCCCAGGCCAGCCGAGAGATAATCTCTCCAGAAAAGACTATCATATAGAGCCTGCTCCACACACAAGCTGCACAGGCACCTGAGAACTGTCCACCCATCAGTGGAATGGGAAGATAAAACACAGTCAGTTGAGTGTGATATTAATATTTCTAAATACCAACCTTTCCCTTAATTAAAGATGTGGGCATTCATTTTTTTTCTTTTTGTTTTGCATATTTTAATCAATATTTTATTGTGTTGTGGTTTGCAGTATCTTGTGTTGTTTCCTTTTAAATTTGTTTATAAGGAAAAATCTGAAATTTAAATAGTTAAAATTTGAATTGTAAATAGCTGTTTTTTGTATTTTTGTAATTTTTTTTTTCACATTTTATGTGGAGTGAATAAATAAAAGAATATTTATATAATAAAAATATATAAATAAAAACACATTTTTTTACATTAGTAGTTCATTTTGTGCATAATTTTATATTGTTGTTGATAATAAATTAATTAAAGCAACAAAACAACCTGAAGAGACTCTGGTCAGCTGGCACTAACAGCATCACTGTAGTTTTGTGAAAACAGGAAGTTGAAGGGATAATGGTGATAGCCTTGATATTAGCTTATCTAACATTCACTTGACAAAAAGTCATTTCACATAGTATCTGAGTTTCTTGTTTGTTTTGTTAACTCATATGTTTGCAATGACACTGAAATAAAGTAAATGAGACTGCGGCTTGTCAGAAGCATTTTTATTTCCATTTTTTGGTCACGATGACAAAGCAAGCAGAGAAAACAACTTCAAAATGTTTAAGTTTCAGTATGCAAAAGACGAACTTTTACACCAAACTGTTTCTGCCAGTCACAGTTTTGTTGATCCATTGAACGTATTTTGTGATGTCGGTGTAGACGTTGGGCTCCTCTGGGTAATTGCAGATACCATTGTGGTTATAAGAAACAATGCCAACAGCTAACCCTTGACACACCAGAGGTCCCCCAGAATCACCCTGTGAGGAGCAAAGATTTCAATTTTTCTATTTAAAAAAAAGGATTCTTTTGTTGATGGAATACAAGTTTAACTTTCAGTGAAAACAGAACACATACCTGACAGAATCCTTTGTCTGTGCCATATCCACCTGCACAGACAACGTTGGCAGGAAGATTACCCCACTGGTCCTTACAGACTTGTTTGTCAATGACAGACACATCCACCACCATCAGCTCATCAGCAGGTTTATTATCATCAGTTTTAGTTTTTCCCCATCCAGCCACCTGACACACTTGGTTTTCTCGAAGGTGTATTTCTTCAGGTGGAAGCTGAATTGTTCGTACCATGTGGCCTAGATGAGCTTTCTTAGACAACTGGAGACAAATACAATAAAGTAAAAATGCCATTTTTCTTATGATTGCTCTTTTGTTGCAATGTAATTTGAATAATAAGACCGCAAATATGTCATCTAAAACTGTTGTGAACATGAACATGTACTTACTTTAATCAGCATGATGTCATCACCCAGTCCAACGTGTTGATAATTTTCATGGATGGTTTTGTTTTCAATCCTTATTTTTTGATGATTGCCGTTTTTGAGATTGTGGTTGCCGAGAACAACGTATGTGGGGTTGCTGAAGGAGTGATCAGTGAAAGGAAATCAACACATTTTCTAAATGCATTTCAGTGACATGAGTCAGAGAGTACAGGAAAAGATGTTTGATTACTCACTATTTATCACAGTGTGCAGC